GAAAAACGGAAAAACCCCCCCCTTTTCCCAAATTTTTGGGGGCCCCCAAAAAAAACCCCCGGGGGAAAACCCTTGCCGAAACCCCCGGTTTATTTTTTTTTTTTTCCGCCCCATTTTCCCCCCCCAAACCCCCAAAAACCCGGGGGGGCCCCCTTTTTCACCCGAAAACCCTTTAAAAAAGGGGTTTCCCCCCCCCCCCCCCCCCCCCAAATCTCTCTTTCCGACGCTGCGAAATCCCTCCCCCGCGATCGTTGTCAATGTCTTTCGCTTGACAGAGAACCAGCTGAAGTTGGTGGTGACGTCGAAGAACAGGCAGACGGATAGGTTTGTCGGCAAGATCCGGGAGTTTTTCGACACCGTCTTCCACGCCTACAGCCCGTCACAGGTGTGTGTGTATGTGTGACGTCGCCACGTTAATCAAAAGCCCGTTGTTGTTGTTGTTGTTGTTGTTGTTGTTGTTGCTGTACTTCTCTCTGTCGCTGGTTTACTCTCTGTGCTTCTGTCTGTGACAACACACATACACGAGAGAGCGCAGAATAGTGGAAGTTTTTTATCTTCTTTCGTTCCTCACCTCGGATGGTTTTGCTTTCCGCCCGACAATCAGCCGTCGTACCATTATTGTGTACCCATGCGGAGTCGCCTCAATTCTCTACGCAATGGACACAATCGTCACTCTCACTCGCCTCTCGGTGTTGGCTATCTTCCACATGTGATGATGGTGTAGCGGGCCAAGTCCGTCCCTGACGACCAGCCCAAAAGCCGAAGAACCGCTGCGACGGTTCGCCTCGCAGTTAAATAGTTGTTAGGATATACATAGATTCGATGCCAAGGGGCAAGCCTTTGTCCATACAACGTCGCTCGTTAACGCTTGTGTTTTTCATTTCTGACGTTGTACGCGAGTTGAGGCCGCATTCTGGTCGTTTATCATCCCCCCCCCCCCCCCGCGCTTGCTCCCTCTCTCGTTGTGCAACATCTGACGATCTGCCTGTGCTGTGCGCGAACAGATCCAAGGCAGGGTGAGAGTTGTGGCGGCCGAAGGTGCTTCGGATGAGTCTGGCGGCTACTCGATGTGGGGATCTTTCAGAAACAAGAAAGGAGACGCGCTTCTCTAACGGTTACATTGTCTTGCCTCACACCGTGCCTTGTCTACTAGCCTCCTGGCCTAGTCTGATGGCCCGGCCCGCGCTGCACAGCTTCCTGGCGGAATAGATGACCGTTGGTCGACCCACCTTCCGTCTGGCCTCTGGACTACGGCCAAAGCGGTAGTGAGTACACGCGGCTACGAGATATCTATTTTTTGGGACTATGGCATCCCGTACTGGCGCTCACAGAACCGACGCAAAGAACCACGATGTAGGATAAGAGCACAGCTGGCACCCCTGTGTATGGCAGCCGTTTTTGACCCCAGGCGGTTGTTGCCGCGGCGCTGGTGCTACAAGTTTGGTTCGATACGATGTGCGCGGGGGCTGTTCGGCAAGGGTCGGGCGTGCACTCCGTGCACCTTTCGGGTGTCAGCGGTTGGGTGTTGAGAAAAAAGCCAAAGATGGTGTGCTCATTGATTAATGATCGCGTCAGATCGTGCAAAATTTCGAAGGTATCCTCAACATTGTACACTCCGCCGAGACTGGAAGCACGGGGTGCTCATAGCCAGCCGTGCTTGCCGTAGTCGTTGGACCACTGACCTTGCATCCCTACAAAACCGGAACGGAGACCGGAAGCATGGGGTAGGGTTGGAAGGGAGGGCTTGGGTATTCATGATCCCCCAAAAGAAAGTAGGGTAACCCCGAATCGCGCCCTCGTGAGACGCGTTTTGATGTGGTGCAAGTTCGGATGCCCTCGCGCTGTAGTGCTGGCTCGAGCGGTACCGTGTCGGGCCCGCGTGGTGAGGGTTTCCGTTGTGTAGGGCGTGTTGCCACCGCTGGTGATGAACCTGCGGTGGTCGCTGTGTGCGTAATTCCCGAGGCAGCGACGCGTAGGGATTTCGCGACAGGGTTGATGGGTCGTCCAGGGGAGACGCGGATAAACACGCCGTCGGGTATGTTTGTTGCTGTTCTTCGCGTGGCACTGGGACGCCCGACTGAGTCAGCCGGCAGCAATTGGCACGCCGTTCGCTTAGATATAAATATTTCATGAAGATGCTCATCCTTTTTCCGTGGGTGACAGGAGGAGTTTGCGGAGTCTTTTGTATTCTTGCTTGTTGTGTCCCTTTGGGTTTGCTTCGTAACCTATGACCCCGGATGAGATGGATTCTTTGATACACGGGTTGCGCTAGCACAGGAAAACGAGAGGCCGTGTGAGCACTTGGTAGGTATCTTCGTTGTGAAGTTTGATCTTTGCTTGTGTGCCTGCTTTCGCTGCAATGGAATGTTTTCGGAGGCATGCGTCTACGTAAGCCACGTATTTGCGAAGTGCAGTTTTGGGGGGGAGATTGCTGAGCCTCTGCCCATTTCTCCGTTTTCTTTGTCCTGGTACATGGTGTTGATCCGGTGTGCTGTCGCTTGTTGTGTTCCTTGTTTGCTTTTTGCGCTTTCCCCCAACTTTTGAGGGAAGAGAATCAAAATTTCCGGGTTTTTTTTTGTCCTTCGTTAAACGTCGTTTTGCACCCACCAGTGGCGAAGCGTCTTCCTTGTATTGTAGGCACCAGTACAAGAGATGAAGAGCAGCTTCTGTATATCTGTACCTTTCCATTCTGTTAATACCGCAGGGGATGCTTGATAGTCTGTCGTTGCGCACCAGCAGGCCTTTTTGTTTCTTCTCATTGGCGTCCGGTTGAAAAAATAGTTTTCTATGCACATATGTGGTGGTTCTTGGTTTGACAAGCAGTATCGTTTTACTGTGTGCTGTTGTCCACTTTGTTCGCGTAATTTAGGCATCGCCGTCACTGGGTGTGTGTCAAAGCTGTAGAGTATCACCGTCTTGAAAAATACAAACAAATTTCTCTCGTTCGCTGCTTGTCGTTGTGGAATAAATAATAACGTAGTCTATGCATTAAAAGGACAGAAGGCAGGCAACCCTCGTTAGTTAGAAGGGGCTACCGATGTTGTTTCTGTAGACCCTTGACGTGGGATCGTTCGGCGTTTAGATGTGTGTGTTTTTTTCGTCATGTGTTGCTTTGGTCTAGCCGTGGCGGCTCGTGCGGTGGTATCATAGTTTCGAGAGAGAGCGAGCTACGGGATTGACCCCCGCACGTTGTGGTAGTGGTATGGCTAAAAAATGAGAGCGGCTGGGAATCACTGATGATGCACTGTAGCTAAGATTTTATTCGATTCTCTCCTCTTCGTTTCATCGACTGTTTTTTCTCTTCGTATTGCGCTTGGTGGTTTGACCTGACGGGCAAAGGCAGAGCTAATACAAGGCAGCCGGCCGCATACGACAACAATAGAGTTGGGCCGTATTAGGCTCGGTGTTGTTGTAGAGTCGGCACCACGAAAATGAAGGAGATGTATCTACACACCATCCACGGCAGTGTTCGTAGAATCTCCTAGCCCCTTCCACGATAGACTGATGAACTCCTGAGAGGGCGTATGCCAGACTTGTTGTGTCACTCTTTGGAAGTCTTCTTTTGATTGGATGGGGAGGCAGTTACTCGCGTGAGACAAAACCAACGCTGTCTGAGACGTGACTAGTACCCAGAGAGGTTTGCTCTCGGAGATATTATTGATTGTGTGTAGTGCTGGATGGTATAAGAAGCGCAGTTGTATGTGGTACGGTAGATGTAATGGATCAAACTATGAGCGATGTATCACGTCTTTGTGAGCGTTTATGAGCGCTACAAGGATACACTTCAATCCGTCATGGGCATAATGTGCCGTCGCTAAAATTTAAGATCTGGAAGGGGGATCAGAATCCCAGCCCCATCCTCGCACTCTCCAAGTGAGCGCAGAGCGAACCTGGTCTAAAAGTATAAGACAAGAGATGAACAACAACTGTCTGTGAGGTCCTCAAAGTAGGAAAGCTTGGCGAAAAACTTCAATCGGAAGTTAGTTGTGGAGGTGATGTAGACAGCTCTGGCGACCTGCAGGCGATGTACTAAGTTTGGTAGGGCTCCGAGCTGAAATAATATTGCTCCCCGAAAACTATTTAATTATTGTTGCTACGATCACGAAACCACCGGAGCTGTTGATTTCGAAAAACCACGTGCTTACCGACACACAGATTGTTCACGTTACATAGCAGAACTCCCCTTGAGCAACACGTCACGTTGTGAATCAGCAAGTTTTCCCTTTTCAATGATGCAAAAGATACGTTTGAACGTGTGGAAACGGACGTGATGGACTGCAAGGAATATCAAACCTGTGTAGCGCCCCCCCCCCCTTACCTCCCTGGATCCGCCTCCTCCGTACCCGTAGCAGCTACAACGAACGCTTCTACTCTCCAGTGCTCCCTGTGTGCTGCACACCCTCGTCTACATACCCCATATCCCCCGTAAACCACCATTAATTACCAGTGTCGCCAATCGCTCATACCATATCCAGTAGACGGGCGTTGCCTCGACCCTATCTCACGCCAACACTCCGCGCTCTTCTGGCTGAGGATCAGTCCGTAGACGAAGGCACAACGGATGCCTTCCGGACACTAATTGTCAAGCCATCAGGACTATTCCGACGCCCAAAACTACAACCCCCGAAGGACACGCGTACACGGCCTAAAACCAAGCAGACTAACAAAGTAGCAAGATATGTATGGGTTTTCAACGCTCACCGGACGGACGAGATAAACAACGATAATCTCCGCGAGTCCTGAAACATGATATGCACAGTATTCCGCCGGATGTCACTCTGAGGAAACAGGCTACTGCTGCGAATGGCAAACACGTAGTACACCAGGAAGACTGACAGATTGGTTCCCTGCTTAATTGATGACCGCTACCCTGGCTGGAGAATGCGCATACACGCCTGACTGATTGCTTCTCCCTGAGTGTAGCTGAACATTAAAGCACATCCAGATTTGGGATGAAATGTTGATTGGTGCGCTGAATAGGAAGAGGGGCGCCTCGGTCCCGTACTTGGAGAAAACGGCGAGAAAAACCACTGCCATTGTCGGAACAGCCATGGCTGCAGACGCAACCATCGCAATCTCTACCTTACGTTTCGCCACCATTAGGCTCCGATCTGGTACTCCGCCTTCCATGCACTTCGCCCCCTCTGCATGGTTGGATGTCATTTGCTGCTGTAGAGACTTGTTGATGGCGCATATCAGGGACCTCCCGCACACCCAAACGACAGCAACGGTTAGTAGGCCCAGGAGGACACCTATTCGAAGGGATTTCGGTAGAAGGGGCAAGCGCGGAAGTAAGCGTTCGTCTCAGGTCCTTTACGTTCATTGCTGAGCACGCTGTCATTGTGGAGGCTGTTCTCGGCCGGAGACTTGATTTATTCCACGATATGCAAGTTAGATCTACATAAGCTCACGTGTGCGCACTACAGTAGCTCAAGAGCACGCGATGTAGTATTCGAAAACTCGTTTCAACAACCCAAGGATATCTGGCATAACCGATCCTTCGCCAACAAGGTTTCACCCGTCTGCCGTTCACTTGATCCTTTCGCTTACCTCCAAGAGAAATCAAACGAATCGCGGTCTCCGCGTATGCCAAAGCGAGGATTGTACTGAAGACGGGGACTACCAACACCACACAAGTTGCAATAACGTGCCCTCTCGATTCTTCAAGCCAGCTGGATGCTGCCGAGATTGCAGGGCTTTCTCGCATCAACATTGGATCGTTCCTGCAAGAAGATTAGTCCGACGGATCGTGACGGCAGGGAGGGGAGAGTATTGATGTTAACGGTGTCGATGACGACGTGAGTGAGCCCGTCAAGAGACAGCTCGTGTAGATATCAACGGCGTGCCTGCACACACGTGTGGCAACCCCAAGGCAAAGACTGTCAAAGGACTGGGGAGCCCAACACACGTCGCTCAACGCATATACTTCCATTTCTTAGCGTCTGCTCCTAAGGCACGGGCTGAACCCCTTACGCCTACATCTTCACTCAACGTGTAGATCCACATTCGAACTGCGAAGATGTAGGCGCCTGTGAAAACTGGGAGCGCAGTCGCGACCATCACCACGGCAGTCCACCGAAGCGCGTCCCCTAGCACCAGAGAGAAGTAGCAGATGTTCATTGCAGCAACCATGGTCGCCGCGTTGTGCATTTTCCGGCGACACCGCTCGACTGGCGACATCGAAGCCGGTGGGTTTTGCGCGTGGAAGACGATCTGCTCGACCGGGTTCGCGAGGCCAGCGACAAGAGTGTCCGGGAGAGAAGGAGAGGGACAGCGAGCGAGAGATGTGTCTTCAGCACAGTTGTATTCGTGATGGGGATGTCGGTGAATCGCTTCGAAGATGGGGCGGGTTCTCGGGCAAAACGGTAGCTAGCTCAGTATTTTCTTCAAAGGGCTGGTCCGTCTTTCCTACTATGTTCTGTTGGCGAGGATTGTCTTTTAAGGCACCGGATAACCGAGGCCAACTACGACCGAGAGCACCCGCTATCCTTAACCGAGGCAGGTGGAAATCACAAGTCAACTACAGAAACAGGCCTTGTTGGTCCGGCGCTCCTATGAGAGTATGTTTGTTTTTCTCAAGAACTGCTATTTAGCCGACCTCCATCCAGTGTTTGCACCACTCACTATCTGCTTGCCACTTCTTGCAAGAACCTGGCACAGACTGGCTTTCCGAAAAACAAAGTTTGGTGTTGAACCTTCAAGCGAAAAACCAACGTCTCGATGTTGTTACCAGATTCTAATACGCTTTGGATTTGTGTGCCGTCGTGAGAAAAAGTGTTTGCGTTGTTGTTTCGAAATTTGCATTATCTCTGAATGATTGAATCATAGATAAAGGTAGGTGTGTGTGTTCGGTTTATTGTTGGGCAAAGAAAAATATCGTCGCGCTCTCTCATGCAACAACAGTCCTGTGCCTACGATTCGCTCCTCTTTTTTCTGCGCAAACACCTGCTACATCCTACGGAGGAAAGGAGGTATCAGGAAAGCCTGTGTCCATCGCGCTGTAGTCTATACTGCTGTATCCTGCTTACAGCAATGCCCCCTCTTCCAAAGATTGCTTTGATTATTGTACACACTTCAATAATTCATTCTTTCAGTTCGAGGGCTCCGTCGGCCTTCCCATCTCGATGATAAAAGCAACAAAGCATTATGTGTAGTGGGGACGGGCTTGAGCAACTTTAGGAATCAAGTCGCTCCGATGATGCCTGCCGTAGTTCGGGAATCGTGTTATGTACAGTAGTCTTGTTGATGTACGCGTCATAGTCTATGCACTCACCTGTTTCCGGAGGTGATGAACTGTATGGCAAAGCACTGCCAGGGAAACAGCCAATCCGACCAAACCGTAGACAAGATGAGCCTTCCTCGGAACACACGAGGCGCCCCCGATGATATTGCGTTTGGACCAGGTGTCATCGTCGCATACACAGGAACACGATCCGTCAGCACCTTGTCGAGGGTATCCTGTCCCTCCCCAAACAAATGTGCGGCAGGTGTCCTGGCTACACATTGCGGATATTGCGGTGACGTACGTATCTATTCTTTAGACTGGCACGTGCTCATTGGAGAGCTTCGAGGGATAATCACCGCTGCCGCGGACACGACGAGAGCTGGTGATACGTACGTACGACGAAATATTTACATATGTGGTCGGTCGTGCCGTCGTGTGTCGAAGTGTAGTTCCGTTTCTGTTCGACAAAGAAGAAGTATGCGCGCGTCGAAAGAGTGACGATGTGACACGGTCCGAGCGCATCACTCGCGGGGAATGGTGAAGCAATAGAGGGTCGGTCGGCTGAGAAGCCAGCCCAAGTTGAGGATCGAAGTATTTTACAATGGGTCGAACACCCGAGGGGTGCATGAAGCGAGGAGTGGTACATGAAGCTCTCGAATGGGTAGTCTTTCTGTGTGTGTATTTAGTATTCCTTAATGAAGCACGCATTCATGACAAGTGTCTCCTTGGCTCGTTCCTGTGGTATGTTGGATTCGCGCTCCACCCACAGTCCCGCGTGACGTCCGTAAGTTACGCCGCGTTTTTCGTACCTGACGACCTGACGCCACGACCAGCGACTCCTGATTTCAATCCCACAGCAGTCGCTGGAATGGCGCCTTCGCCCGAAAAACAAGCCGGCAAGCTCCTTGGGTTGCTCGCACAGGGTAAGTGAACCACGCCGGGGACAGGAATGTGTTTACCACCAGATACGTAAGTACTAGTTGCTGTAGTCACCTTTCTTTCAGATGCATGTACTCTCCTATGCCATGGACAAGTACTGCTGCATGTACACCAACCACTGGCAGCACCAAGTTGGCAGCACCGTATCATTTGTAGACCCACCCAAAATCCCACTAGGTTGATGCTGCCACGAGACGCTCGCAGTTTCTGAGTGATGCGTTTGGATGTACAGAGAAATAAGCAGAGATGTGACGGACTCTTTGCCCGCAGCCGCAGTTCTGGGACTTGCAGCAGCTGGCCACGGACTACAGTAGGTGACAAAAGATACCACACCCCCTGGACCGATTTTCAAAGCTCCACTACTCCAAGAAGAAGAGGATACCAACTCACATTGATGGGTTTCGGAAAGATCTCAACGGGATTGTTCCAACGCCGGCAATTTTCGGCACTGTCGCTCTTTCTGCTGCGAGTAATCAAGATTTGAAAATCGGTCCAGGGGGTGTGGTATCTTGTGTCACGGTATTCTGTACTCCGTAGATTGTATGCATACATGCATACAGCAGTGGTCCCGTTTGCGTCCCAACTCGGCAGTCACATTGGTATACACAGACACACAGCACTAGTCGCTGGCAGGTTTCGGTCAACAGATTGGGGCGGCAGGAGCGAGAGAGGGTAGAAAGAGAGAGAGAGAAAGAGAGCTTGACCATCGCTTTGACTGCCATCAGGACGGTTTTTTTTTTTCATGTAGAGCAGCCGGTCGCCCCGTTAGGTTAGTCAACCTTCAAGTGGTCAGCGTCAGGGGTTCGAATCCCGGCGTAAGCGAGTTTTCTTGCAAAAGTGAGTTTTTCTCTCGCTTTCGTTCCTGGCCTGGGTGGAAAGCGCTATTAGTTCGTGTCACAGAAGGAAGTGAGTGCTGCACTCTTCTCGCATTAATAATCTAAGGCACAGTACCGCAGGAGGGCTGGATAGGGGGGAACCCTTCTGGTGACCACGGGTTGGAGTAGACGGCACAAGTGCTGTGAGCGCTGGTTTGAAGTGAAGACAAAACAAAAAAGAAAGGAGGTATGCAAACTACTGCTGTAGACCCTATTGACGGCCCCCCTGCGGACTGAGGGCTCGCGAGATTGCAGCGCTGGCAATCCTGGCTCTTTCACGGCTCTAGAGACCATTTTTTGTGCAGTTTGTCCGTCCCAGACCTCCGTTCGCCGCGAGATTGGCGCCTGCCGGTAGCCCTGGGCCCCGAGGGCCTCGATCGTGTGCGGCTCGCTGTCGGGGTGGCATTCGCGACGGGGAAACGAAGGCAGAAAGTCGCGCTCCGAAATCTACCACGATTCCACCAAGCACAGCCCGGTTTGTTGACAACGACCAGGCCATTATTACCTTCGGCAAGCGGCTGACTTGGTGCGTTGCTGTGCTGGCAACACACCCTCGCCGCACGCAACAGCCAAGCAGCCAAGTCTGTCTCCGCATGACACGAGACAAAGCACCCTACTGCTGTAGCACGTCTCCCTTACGATCCCGACGAAATGCAGGGTGCTTCGTGGCCGGTGTCGTGCGCCCATCACAGCATCTGCCAGTACTGCTATACACACCCGCCCGAAAACAAAAAAACTGCCGAGAAGACGTCGTTGTTCCATGGTATATATGCCTGCTTTTCGTCAACATGTCAAGCTGTGTGGGCGTTGGTGGGTAGAGAGCCTAGACAGGGGTTCGAATCCGCGTTGAGAACCACGTGTGGACGGATCCCGCCAAGCTGTTTTTTTCCTTTTGTTTTGTGCAAATGTGTTTTTTCCGCCTTGACTTGCACGCACAATTGGGTGCTCTCGTCAAAAGCGAATGGCCCGTGTTTGATTCTGTTTCGCTACAGAGGGCCGACAGTACGGCGATCTCGTGGCGGAGAGGCTGGTCGAGCTCGTGCGCTCGGAGCCGCTCGAGGGCCGGGATGACCTACACAGGTACACAAGTGTTACGCGTTCGTGTACCTTCATTTGGACCCTGCTCGGGTATTCTATGTATAATAGGAGCACGATAGGGCATCCTCCTGACTCCTGACTGGTTGTTATATTATACTCGTGGGCATCCCATTGGAGGCGTGTTCTCTCACCGGCAGTCGATGTTTGCTTTTTTTGGTTTGGGCAGAAATTTGCACCTTTGGTGCAGACGGCAGTGGTACCCGCGCATGTTGTGTATATCTGATCGTATTCTTCGGGGCGTGCAAGCCTGGACAAATAGCCGTAGGTGGTACCGATGTCGGTACGGCAGAGCTGAGACTTCCAACCTGGTGGTGTCCATACAGTGCAGCTCATTTTGTCGGCGGAGCTAGTTTCGGGCTCTCTGCCGTCAAGCGATTGCCTTCTGGTGGGTCTCCTGGCATTGCCCCCTATTTTACGAGGATACGAGATGGCCCTCAGCTAACGTGTTTGCGTCGCCGCTGTTGCTCAGAATGAAGCACGCAGTGTATCTACCCCCTTTTAAAATAGTTTCTGGGCGCACGATCGCCGCTGCTCTCAACGCCCTCACGAACGCCCGCACGCCACGAACCAGGCAACTCGTGGCCGGAGCGGCGACCTACCTCTGCCACACGGCGTGGTACGCGCGGGTCTCCGCGGCCGCGTGCCTGGAGAGCTTGGCGCGCCTGGAGTACGGTCAGGAAGAACCGTCCCGGGCAGCCGTAAAGAAGAAGGGCGGTGGCGGCGGCGACGCGCTGACGGACGAGCTGGCGAGGGGATGGGTCGGCCTTGGGGACGTCCGGCTTGCCGAGGTCTTGGAGAGGGGGGCGCTGTTGCTCAGCCACGGAGAAGATGTGTGTGTTGTTGTTGTTGTTGTTGTTTCAGGGGAGGTCTGGTGGCGTTGGCTCGTGGCGGTAGTGCGACTGCTGGGGTGATGGCGGCGTTGCTGTGCTGTAGGTGATTGCTACTTTGTGGTGTTTTACTGTAGTATTTGTTCGAACGCAAAGGGCTGATCTAGGTATCTCATCGAACAAGCGGTGCGTGCTGCGTGCCTCGCTCCATTGAAGGTCCTTCCGTGAACTTGTTCCTCGACGCACGATTTTTCCCGTTTGGTGTGCGGTGTTCAATGTACGCTAACTACTCCCCCCCCTATAATTTCCTGTCCATCCGCCGTGACCCCAAATTCTCTCCTCGCTCGTTGAACACTACGTGTCGCGTGGAACGATGGACTGCTGTAACATCGCGAACGCAAGGCCGATGTCGTCGACTCTGAGCGGGCGACCCCTTCCGCGGATGTGGGCACGCGGGTAGGCCGGCAGCGAAAACGCCTCCTTAAGTGCCTCGGCCTCGCGGGCGGGAGCGGGGAAGCGCGCGCGGGTTCGCTCTACTCGTGTGAGGAGACGCCGTTTTTTTTTTCGAAGCTTGTTTGTTTGCGGGAACATTAAGGGATTGCAGGAGTTGTGGCGGTTGTTGCCTACCGGTGGTATCAATGTGCGGATGATTTTTCTCGTCGTCTCGTGATACGTTGTGCTACCGCTGCGTCGCGGTGTGAGAAAAGCCGTTTTCCTGCGCGTGCACAGTTTGTTAGTGCGCGGTGTCTTTGTTGCCGGGATTTGGCGGATACCTACGGATACACGGCCAACAGGGTGCGCCATGCTAATCCCTCGCCGCAGTGTACTGGGTCCCTCTTCCTACAACCTGTGTTGGAACAACCTGGTCACTCGGTTTTTCGTTGTTTTTTGGGCTTGCCTCAGCTATTGGGGACGCTATCGAAGACGAAGACATCGAAGGACCTGCCGCAAATGCGAAGAGAGGGTCATCAAGGGGCGGCGGCAGGTAAAACTCCCGTCTGCTAGTGCCGGTAGATGCGCACCTCTAGGCAGTTCGAGCTGAATTGTGGATGAATTCAGAGGTAAAACGATGAAAACTATTCGTCGGACACAAAACATTTCGTTGGTACACATGATAGCTGTCAACTGGCATCTAATACCGCGGCTGCTGCTCTGCAAGTAAAGGCAATTGGGGGTGATCGATACCTAAAAAAACAGGCAACAACGGGCAAGTAGGTACACTTCTACCAAGCTATCCAGGGAGAGAGAGGAGCAGCGGGTGCGCATTTGGATGGGACTTCCACTATATGAGAGGAAAGCCAAGTCGAGATAATCGTGCTGCGGAGACAGTAGTTACCGATGTTTGAATATTGAGCACCAGAATGCCCATGCGCGCATATATGCATCGTTTCATGTTGTTACCACCTCTGGCCGTGTATCTCCAGTGTTTTCAAATCCTCCTCGTCATCACCCACCCCACACCAAGCGGTCAACCCGACCTTGCGCGAGTTTGATGCTCTTGAATGGCCTTCCGACCGTATGCTTCCACTTCCTGCTGAGCGTTCGCGTCTGAAACAAACACACGAAAACGGCTTGTTCTCGTTCGCGTGTCCCACTTTTGCTGCGATGGCGGTCAACACGGCAATCTATAAACCATGGGCAGGACCAAGCCGGACGGCCCCATCTCCGCCGCCTCCGACACCCCCACCACCGTCGGTGGCGGCTGCAGCGGCAGCGGCAGCGGCGACGGTGCTCGGCAGCAGCTTAGCGCCCGCCAGCGAAATCGGCTTGCGCGAGAGGCCCGTTCGAATGCCGCCGCCGCGGCCGGCAGATCCGCTAGCCGTGGCGGCGGCGGCGGCGGTGTAAAGGGAAAGCGACGTGCCGGGGGCGAGGATCACGGCGACCGTAGTGATGGCGGCGGCGAGGACGGACGGGAGGACGGGCCACCGGCGTTTTTAGGCCGGGGGGCTACAGGGAGCATGATGACGGATGTCGCGTCGAATGCTCGGGAGGCCCTGGTTTCCCTAGCGGCTGACCTTGTAGCCCAGGTGAGGGCGGACGGTTTTCGTGGGGTGAGGAGGTGACGGGGGGGGAAGATCTGCTTTTTGGCATTGTCATGTCAAGGCTTTGTATGCGGGGGTACTAATATATTACGTGGTTTCGAGATTGCCCTAGTTTTTCCCCGCCTGTCCGTCGCCTACGTTTTATTTACATTGTGATGGTCGACGGGAAGCCTCGATTACCACCACAAGCACTCAAAAAGGTCTCCCTCTCCTTCGTCGAAGATGCTGCTGCCTTCTTTCTTGCACAGAAATCTCTGCATTTCTTCTCTCTCCTTCACCCTTGGCCTCTCTTTGACCCCCCCCCCCCGCCGTCATACGACCTTTCCGCTTGTTGTATTGCCGCGTACACGACGCTAGTTGTTCCACCCAATCTGGCAGTGCCGCCACGGGGCTGCGTTGGGGGCGCTGTCTATCCTGCGTGCGTGGAACGCCCGACGTCGCAGGGGAGAGCCGGTACCGTACGGCGCTAGGTGAAGGATCACCCCCCCTCCCGGTTCTTGTTTTGTCTCTTCGTGCGAACTTTCGGCTCCCAACAGCACAAGAGGGAAGCGCCTATTAAGATATTGATGACGGCGATGACAGGAGGAAAACATTCCACCTCACGTGTTTTTCTTTATTTCCTACGCCTGTTCGGATATCGATTCATTCAGCAGAAGCTTGTTTCGAGGGGAACCGCTGACACCCGAACGACCCGCTACAAGCTGCCTATCTCTTGGCTGCGGCACCGAACCGACGAAAAGTTGGACAGCTCTGAGTGCACCAAAGTATAGCGTTGTGGTGGTTGTTGTTGTTGTTGGTCGTGGTGATGTTGCTGCCATCAGAGGTTGTCGTTGACGTGATTTCACCCCGGCTCTCTATGGTTCCCCTCCAGGATGGCGGCGTGGGCAGAGGACGCCGTTGCGCGGTGCGTGTGTGTGCTGGCGCTCGACCGTTTCGGCGACTACAGCAGTCGGTGAGACTGACGCTATTTGTTTAGGCTTCGCCACCCCGTGGGGTGCCGTATGATGCTGGCTACGTAAGCCTCCACGTCACAAGTAGATCCCCGCCTCCTTCTTGAGGGGTCAACAACCACTGAAGTCGCCGCCTGAAGGAATTGGACTGAGAAAAAATGCTCAAAGAAGCAAACTAGGCCTTCCCAGAATTAGCGCTGGCGATTTGGAGAAAGGCTACGAACAAATATAGTAGTGGTCCCTGTATAAGGCCGCATAGTACCCAAGGAATGTTTCGGGCCTTAAGGCCGCATTGTACAAAGGGGTACTTGTGCCTTATACCGTACACCCGGCACTTCCAGAGTGTGAAACAAGTGGAATACTCCAACTGCGTTACGCGATTGTAGCACAGGGCGATCAGCCCTATTTATGCGTCTTATGCAGCGACTGCAGCTGTATCTCCCTCCCCACCCCTCTCCGAGACTCAGAATGACCCCCGCGTGCCCCCCCAGCACGTGGCAAACGGCTCGAAGCCAACACGGAGTGAACGAAAACACACCAACAAAAGAGCCTAACCCCTCCCCGAAATAATCAATCAATACCCCGTCGCCCCCATACATCCCACTGCTGTACCCCTGTTTTTCAGAATGGTTGCCCCTGTGCGAGAGACTGCCGCTCAGCTACTCGCGGTGGCGGCTCTCCAGCTGGAGGCCGACAAGCTGAGGCAGGCGGCCAGGCTCCTCTTCGAGCTCACGGCCTCGGGGGAGTGGCAGGCAAGGCACGGCGGGTTCTGCAGCCTGGAGTCTCTCTGCGCTGTGGCCATCACTGGGGATGGCGCCGACGGCAGAGGCGGTGAGACGGAACGCGCAGCGATTTTTGGTCGTGGTTTGGGAAGAGGCCCGGGGGCGCAGGCTGAGGGGAAAGTGGCGCGGGGGTTGTGTGTCCCGATTTTGATGCTCATGTCACATTCCTTCTTGGTTTTTACAGATACTACTGTATTGATGTTTTTTCCGAACAGAAACCAAACAGACCAACCTCTTATCCATAGAAAAGAGCATGAGATGTATTTGCGATGAGTTCGTAGTGTTTTTGATTTCTTGATAAGAAATAGGTCCCAACCATGCTTTTCCCTGCCCGAGTCACCCTTCGTTCTTTTGTTTTGGCCATCTCCACCCCCCCCCCCCTTCTCCCCGCGGCCCTCCCCACACGCCCGCCTGCCCGGCTTTCTGCATGTTCTACCTGTCTGTCCCCACGTGTCTGGTCTGCGTGTTAATCAGGCGTCGTTCTCTTGTTCTTGTTCTTGCCCCGCGATTTCTCTATGGTACGCCCGGGGGTCTCAAGCCCCGCCGGAGGTGTCCCCCTTCCTGCACGGCCTCGTGTACCGCGCGGCCCCTCGCGGCCTCTCCGACCCAGCCGAAGACGTCTGCGCCGCCGCCGCTCGGGCTGTCCGCCTTGTCATGCGACGGTTTTTGCCGCCGCCGGTTGAAGCCGGGAGGGACAACCACGGCGGCGAGGCAGGGTTAACGTTGGCACCCGCAGGCCGGCAACGGCGGGAGCGAGGGCCGACCGGCGACGCGGAGGGCGAGGCGGAGGTGTGGAGGAGCTGCGGTGGAGGCGGAGAGGTGTTTGACCTGGTTTGGAAGGCGTTAGAGGACCTGGATCAGGACTCAACCTGCGTCGAGGTACGTGCCGACCGATTTTGTTGTATATGCATGACGTCATGTTTTTTTACGAAGGCACTACATGTTTGTTGCTTTTCCATACCTTACTCACATGTACGCACACGGAGCATTGAATAAATTTCGGAAACGATTTTTTGCTTTTTCCGTCCGTCCCGGCCGCGAATGTACCGGGTGTCCCTCTTCCACCGCTCTCCCGTGTTGATCTGTTCAGGATCTTGCGGATCTCCTGGAGACGTGCTGTGAAGACGTGGGTCGGGCCAGCGGAGCCACCGATCCCTTTCTCTCGTCCGGCGAACGCCGCCTCAACCGCCTCCTCGATCTCTGGGAGGATGTCCGCGCGGGCGTGCGGGCGTGCGCTGTGCGGTCGTTGCTGGCGCTTGCGCAGGGAATCGTCGGGTGAGGTTTGGTTCTGGATGCAAGGCTACCGCACCCGGCGTGTTGATGCGCAGTACGTAGTCACTGGTGTATTGCTCACGTGTTGTGTCGTGTGCCACCGTGGTGTTTCGCCATTGACCGGGCATATGAGCAACAACAACCAAAGTTTCGGAGGCTAACGGTGCTGTTTTCAGCCTCGGAAGTGGTAACGGTCAGGACCGTGCCGACGTTAACCACGAACACCGGCTACTGTCGATCCAGAGCTATCCGTGCGTTCAACGTCCGACTTTTTGTTTTGAACGGACGCACGCTTTGCTTACTCTTCAGAGCTACTCGGCCAGTGACGAAAACGCAAAGCGTGGGGGAGTCGGCTGCAGCCGCTACGAGGTGCGAGAGGCTGCTGCTGCGATGCTTCCAAGCGCTGCTCTCCGAGCGCGATGACGGAGTCCGGGAGCATTCCGCGCGGCTCTGGAGCGAGCTGCTGAAGGGACTCGGGCGGTAAGGAGCCCCGCCGCCGTATAGGTGGCAGTGTATGCCAACTGCTGTCTTATCTCATCACCTTCGAACGGGTCAATGTTGACCAAAAATGCACAAGGTTTGTCTGATGTTATCCTTGTGGTACACCGCGGCGCTTGGCGACGACGACGCGGAGGCGATGCCCCGTTCATTCGGGCCCGAAAGGCGCGGGCGCGACCGGCGCTCAAAAACGGGCGAGAAAGAATGTTGGAAGAAAACGCCGCGCGTACATGGAAGTGACGCGTAAGAGACAAGTCCGTGGTGACGAAATTTCCACTCTCACGACCACCCCGACGACAAGTACCCCGCTTATGGATGGTCAAGTATGAAACTCGACCATGAACAAGAGCACACAAGTTGCGAACGTTTTGGCAGTGAACATTTCGTGGAGCCATGGGTTTTGAGCTACGACATGACGCCTGCCGACCTGAGTCATTTCCGTCGTCCTTGCATGCAACGTGCGCACCTACGTGTACTTGAACCAGCGCCGATGGCCACCGCCGAGCGGCCCACGCGTCGCTCATGGCCTCTTGCCTCGGTATTCTCTTCGCGCCGCCGGCAACGCCGCCACCGCCTACTACGGCGATGGAAGACGTCACTACTCCTGCCTCTGCCACTGCGGATTCGGCCGCCTCGTCGTCACCAGCTTCTACCAGACCCGCACGCCGCCGGCCGTCGAAGCGCGCTCGCGGCGAAACTTCCGGCAGCCCCGAAGACGTCGCCGCTTTTTCGACCGCACGTCCCCCTTCGAAGCACCAGAACCGAGCTGTTCAGGCAGATACGATTGCAGAAGGACCAGCGGGGGCAGGGGCGTCGGCGACGTTTTTCGGGCGGCTAGCCTCGGCCGGGGCGCTGGCGGAGCTCGCCCGAGCTTCTGCTAGTGCTGCCGCGGCGGCAGACGGCGAAGAAGCAGCAGCACGCGGCGATGGTGCTTCTGCCACCGGCAAGGCAGGGTCATCAGGGTGTCGCGGAAGCAGCAGCGGTAAGCGTGCACGGGCTGGGTCGGACGGACACGGTAGCGCGTCCGACGGCGAGACGGAGGGCGTCGTCGCCGCCAAGAAGACAGCACGGGAGTTGGCCATGTCCGAGGTGGCGAGAAGAGCGGGGTCGGGGTGGGCGTGGGAGCAAGAGCTGGCCTTCTTTCTGATGGAGGCCTGTTGTGCCGGTGGTGGGGTGGGTGCACGGGGTGGAAGCGGCGGCGGGTCGACGAGCACACGGTGAGTCGCGATCGCACGCGCTTTGTTTTTGGGGTTCAATCAATCAGTTTTCGCGTCTAATCGAGCCGCTCTGGGTGTAAGAACTTCTTGCAGCGACAAACGGACGAGGGGGGGGTAGTTCTTGTTGTAAATGGCTTGTTTCTCTCAACGTGATTGTGTTATTTCAACTAGACATTTCGGGAGGGGGACGATGAAAGAACCGGAGCGAACTGGTAGCGTTCTCAGTGCTGGTGGAAAGTTCGGTAAATGGTGGTTGGGGCAACCTAAAAGGAGGAAAATGATTGTGGAGGGGATGAAAAGTGCTCAAAGAATTGGCGATTCGTTTGCACCGGGGTCGGTTTGCACCAGGGTCGGTTCAGGCACAACGGCGAAGGATGGAATGCGGCGACAATGACGCCGAATCGAAGAGAACAAGGTCTCACGGCGTGATGTACGCGGAAATCTACTGTTGACACTGCTGTGTGGGGGCTTGGAAGAGAGGCTAAGATAATATTCCTCGCGCGACTTAACCCATCGCCCACCAAAGCGACGAAAGGGTGCTTCTCCCAATGCAGCCATGTCCTCTCTGTGTTGCATGTAGAGCCTAGAGTTTGTCCCCCGCTTCTCCCCGCCCCGCTCGCCAAACGAACTCATGCCGCGCAGTGGCGACGAGGTTCCAAGCAAGGCAGAGCAAGATGCGTGGGCGGCCGTCGACCGCGCTTTAGCGACAAAGGATGACGCAGCCGCCGTCGGCCACAAGGTGTTCAAGGAGTTAGAAGGCGTGGACAAGGCGGTTTCGGCTGCTTGCAGCGGCGTCATTCGGGTTCTCCTGCAGGTGTGGACGGCGTTCGTCCATCCCCCGTCTGCTTCGTGCACCTGCCAGTAGCACACTTTCCTGGAAGATGTCCTTGTAGCAACGACCTCCGTTACCGCACCTTCGAGGCATTGACGTAGCTACGCTTCCCGGCGTCCAAGCCGAATTCGACGTAAGGATGACGTCGTGGTGGTGGCGGCAGCTCATGAAGACGTACGAGAGAAACAAACAACCGACCTGCACGCGTCTGTTTAGCGGAGAATTCCGAACCGGGAGGGTGCGCATCACACACCTTTGCGTTCATTGCTCATGTTTGCACGGCGGTGAATAGCGCTACGACTGTAGAATAGTGCGTTCCGGTGAGAGCGTTTGGCTACGTGATGCGGCGATGTCTGAGAGCTTTTCGCCTCGATGTTGTCGTGTCCATAGTTGTGTGGAGCTGGACGCTGCGCAAGCATTGGGTATCTGACAAAGGTGCTTCTTCCAGCAAAGCACAGCACGGCCTCAAAACCCATGCACATAGCTCGAGGAGGGTTGGTTTAGTTGTCAAGCACTGCAGCCTCCCGAGTATTGGCCGTCTTGAACGCTAACCAAATAGTCAAGCACTGACTTGCGTAGTGGTTGGATTCGGTTGTTAGAGAGCGCGCCGCCTTCATCCTCGTGCCGATACCGCTGCTGCTTCTGCTGCTTTTGGTGCTGCTGCTGCTGCTACTGCTGCTCATACAGGCTGCTGGTGGTTCGGCCACGACCACGGCCGGGGCCGTAGAGCAAGCCGCCCCCGCCGCGAGGAGCGCAACCAGCAATAAGGGTGTCACGACAGCTACTTCTTCCACCGCCGCCGGTAGCCAAAGGGCGAACGCTGCTGCTCGTAAACCACCGAAAGGCGGAAAATCCAGGTCACAGGGTACAGCAAAGGCTGCTACTGTTCGGGGTTCCTCGGCCAGGTCTCGATCAACGGCGCCAGTTCCCCCAACGGCCACCCCTGCTCCCCTCCAAGGAGCGGCAAGCGTCGAGAGGACGTTCCAGTCGTTGGCGGCGGCGTTCGGGGAGACGCTGGTGCCCGTGGACAGGGGCGCGACCAGGGAGGAGAGAGAGGCGGTGTGGACCGGAAGAGTGAGGCACTTCCACGCCCGCATACAAGCGCAGCAGGTGAGATTCTTACAATGGATGTTTCTTGGCTGCTGCCGTCGCTGATGGATGATGCCGTTGTCGTTTCTAGTACAAACCCGTCCTGACTGTTTGCTCTCATCCCGCGTCTCCGTGTCCAGTGCTAACTCTGCGTGGGTCGTTGATTGCGGGGACGCATGACGCGAGAGGAAACTTTGAGTAATAGTAGAAATTTCCCCCCGAGATTCCGATGACGATGACGTTGATGGCGCGCCTTTCTCTTCCACCACGTCGAAGTTTCTATTTAGCATGGCCGGTGGCTCCTCTTGTCCTCCCCGTTCGATTCAATGCCCCTCGCCCCTTCAGGCGCTGTCTGCTTTATTTAATCCCTTACCGTTCTCTTCCCATTCCCTCTACCCCAAAACAGGCCGTTCTCACGAGGAGAATAACGTCTGCAGCTGCCTCGGTGTACGCCGGCGTCCGCCCCCTTCCCCCCGAGCTCAACCCGGTATTGCGGCCCCTTGTGTCTGCGGTGAAGAAGGAGCCGGACGCGCAGCGCCGAGGACTCAGGTGAGAGTGGATGTGCCGTTGAATGCTGCAACTCCTGACGGCTGGTTTGAGTTTCAACCCAGACGGCAGCATGTATACCCGATGCGTGATCGGTACAAAGCACGCGCACCTCGCGGAGCATCCTTGCTTGAAAATCCGGTGTACGGGTCGTGTGGAGGTATAGTCGTCGCCCTAAACCCATCTCCGGCTCGTTATTGTGCGGATTTGCGGGTGCCTTATGTTCGATCACGAACGTGGCGAGCTTCAGTACGGTATCTCCTCGCACATTTGAGCAGATCACGACGCAAGGCACCCGTGCCAGCCAATCGGGCTCGCACCAGGTGAAATGCGCTAATTCCCCTCCACCCAACCCCTCTGCCTGTTCTTGTATTTTGGGCCCCGCTCTTTGTAACCAATGCCCTGCGTCATGCGTGGTGATACAGTGCCTCCCGCTTGGCTCGCCTGGCCACTGCCCTCCTCGGCGACGCCGTGCGCTCCGAACGCCGCGATGCGGGGGCAATGGTCCTTTTCGGCCTGGCTTCGCTGAGCGGGAAGGGGCAGCAGCAAAGCCTCAACAGCCCCGCAACCGCAGCCGCCGCGGCGACCGAAGAAACGTTGATGGCGGTGGAAGTCGCTTGCGATGGCGCCACGGAGATGCTGAGGCACGCGGTTTCCCTCGCGTCATCGTCGTCAGCAGCGCCCACGGCGCCCGTGCCCCCGCCTGTTTCGCCCGCGTCTGCCGCGAGGCCGTTGCCAGCTCCCGGTTCTTCTCGCAGCGACGTCGGTAGTGGTGGTGGTCGTGGCGAAGGGATAGAAGAGGTAGTGAAAGGCGGAGGTCGTGAAGGAGGGAGAAGGAGAGGAGGACGGGGTGGGAAGGCCGTGCGAGACTGGGCGCTGCGGACTCTCGCTCCGCTCTTGCGGCACCCCTCCGGCATGGGAGCACAGGGCGGCAACACCATCGGAGCCGGGACAACAGCGTTGCCTTGGCCCCAGCGAAAGCTCTCGGCAGCGGAGAAAAAGAAGTCGGCAGCCGAGATCCGGGCGATCGACCTGTCGGCCGCGCTTGGGGTGGCGGAGGCGTTGTTGCAGGCCGCTCGTGACCGAACCGCCGCCGCCGCCGCCGCCGCCAACCCCCACCGGGGCGCGCGGCCTCTCCTGGGAAGCCTCCTGCTCGAAACGTCGCTCGCCGCCGGACTGTTAGCCCTCGCGCGGTCCGGGCGCGTACCCGTCTCTGGGGAAGACGAGGGTGCTGACATTTCTGCCGAACCAACTCGTGGAGGCATCCCGCTACGCCAGCACCATCGCAGCGGCGGGGATGCTGGAAATGCCCCCGATGGAGGCACGCCGAGCGTTGACGGTGGCGGTCACGCGGCGGCTGTGGCAGCAGCAACGGCGGACGCGGCATTGATCATCGCAAGGGACGCGGCAGATTTATTTCCGGACGGGTTGTGGGAGGGCCTCCGCTCGGACTTGCTCCCGGCCCTCGCGGCCGGGGCGTGTTCCGGAGATGTCGGTGGGAGCGGTGTGAGTGGTGGTAGTTTCGGCGGCGGCGGCGGCATCGGCGTTGCGGGAGATGTGAGGGCCGGGCTGGTCTTGAAGGAAGTGGTGGGCGGGATGGGAACCGGCGTGGTGCCGTACGCCGCGAGGCTGCTGCCGGTGGCGCTGCGAGGAATGACGGACGCCAACGAAGATGTGCGCAAGAAACAACGACTCACGGCTATAAGTTCTTCCGGCATGTTTACGTTTCGTTTCCTGCTGACATGAGCGGCCGGTCGCGTGCAGATGAGAATTGACCGGAGATCATGTTTTGTGTCTACAAACGTGTGCTACGGGAGAAAACATGCCGCGAGATCGCGCCTGGTCTCTAGAGCGGACCACGACATGTGTCCCCTGCTTATCCTCCACCGTTGCCATGCACGATACGATCTTTATCTTCCCCCTCCGTCGAAGGTTCGCGGGCTCCTGGCGGGCACTTTCAACGAGCTCGTCAAGGCGGTAGCGTTGGCGGCGGACGACGCTGATGACGACCGCCACGCGGGCGACCACAAAGGCGGGGAGGATCTCGGTGACGGTGGTGTTTCTACGGAGCGTACCATCGACGGACAATTACACGGGCAGGGGGAAGCTTCAGCGGCAGCGGCGGCGGCGCGTGTAGGCGAGGCGGCTGGCGATAGCGTGGAAGAAGACGGCGAGGTGCGGTGTCCTGTTCCTCAGGTTACTGCAGGGCTAGCTTAAGTTCATCCACAAGAAACCAGTGGACGTCGGTCGCGGTCACTGCTACGGCACGCCGGGTCCGGTACCTTACGTTCCATGTTGACGAAAAAGAAGGCGCTTCTCTCCAAAGCAGGTGTCGGGTTGCTTCTTCCGTGTATCTACACGCCGACCACACGATCTTCGATACCATCATCTTGCCGCAGATTAAGCCTGTAACCCGTGCCCTCGCCCGTCCCAGTGAACCCACTCATGAAAATCGGCATGAGTATATCTCCCTTCCGTTCACCAACGAACGCTATTGCTTGTTTTGCCTTCATACACAAACAAGCGATCTTACCCCCGCCCCGCCCCCTCCCCCCTCGGAGTCCTTGTTTTTCCATTCGCAATGTGCCCTACCCCTCCCGTCCTCGTACTTGAATCACGCACACACGCTTGTCTTCAAGGACGTTTCGCCTGCTGCGACCGACATTCCTCGCCACACCCTTGCTCTCCTCACTCGGTGTTTCCTTCGCATGACATCCAATACTCCGACTTCTACCCCATCTCAAGCTAATCGCGAGGCATCTCGTTCGTGGCGAGCCTCTCCCGAGGCTCCACCGAGGCCTTCTGCCGGAGGCACTCGAGCGAAAGGCGGCCGCGGGCGTGACGATTCGCCCCTACCAGTGGGAGGGCATCGCTTGGCTAGACTTCTTGAGGTAACAATCCTGGGGCTTGTCAACGTAACCGAAGCGAAACGACGTACTTTTCTCCACGCGCGGCGAGAGTTCTTGTCGGACTCTCAAGAGGAGCGCTGCCACGGCCTGCGACATGCGGGGGCCGCCGCTCTTGACGTGAAATTCGTGCATGTTGCGCTCTGATGCGGGAGAAACGTCGGTGTGGCGTTGTACGTTGTTCGTGGGAAGGATATGGGATCTCGCGGGATGAGGGCTCTTTTGTCCTTAGTTCTTTTAAACACATACCTTGCCATACCTTGCTGCGCGTTTCCAAAATGTTGGGTGTTGTTAGGTTTCTTCCTCCCGCTGATTTGGCAGTCCGCTGCGTCCTTCCTGCGCTGCCCAGTGCAAGCACGACCGCTGTCATCTTTGCTACTCTAGTATGCTTTCCAATCGCCCCCCCACCAGCACCCGCGGTGTATGTTGTTGTTTTTGTTGTTGTTGTTGTTGTTGTTGTTGTTGTTGTTGTTGTTGTTGATGATGTCGATGTTGTTGTCGTTGTTATTGTTGGTTATGTCTAAGTCGTTGTTTTCGGTATTGTTGCTGCCGCTGCCGCTATTGTCGTTTCTTCTGGTGCCGCTTCTTCAAGGCGAATAGGAGCGCACGGCATCCTTGCGGACGACATGGGCCTGGGCAAGACCCTGCAGGCGCTGATGGCGGTTGCCATGTGCCACCACCACCACCCGGGTGAGCAAGTTGTCCTCAATGGGAAATAAGCACATTCGAAGATGGCCTGCCTCGCTGAGAGAAGCGGGTTCAGATGGATCCGCGACTTTGTATTGGCTGGCAGTTAGATTGGTTTTGCTGTTATAATATTCTGGCCAAAACGTCGGGGGATTGCGCCCCGAAGAATTTTCAAGCAAAGATTAAGCTGTCACAACAGGCATAAAACAAAAGTGGAGAGTCTGGCGATTTTCTTTTGTCATCAGCCCTTCCCCCGCGAGCCTTGTTTTGTGTTCTTGCCAAGAAGGAGTGCTCCGTGTCACCCCCTTACCTCGCCGAACCATGGCTGGGCCGCTCGAACTTTGCCGGTGTGTTTCGCGCATTGTTTGTAGCTTATAGCATCAGCGGCGGGTGGTCTCTATAATAGCGCTCGTGTATCGCCCCTCCGCATTTTCCTTACTCACTTACGGACGGTTCAGGGTGATGCGTATGGTACACCACCCTTATTGCGTTCTTCGCCAACCACACCGCGCCGCATGAACCAATGGCACCATACTTCCACTCTTGTGCGATTTTTTCATTGCTAAACAGGCCGCCGGTCGCTTGTTGTGTGCCCAAGCATATTGGTCCATCACTGGAAGGTGAGAGAAATTTCGAATAAAATAAACAGCAAGTGGCTGAACTTAACAATTTCTTCGTCGTCACCCACACCCTATGAGCAGCTTAGTCTGCCACCACTTCAGGGTTGGTCAGTCACTCAAAGCTGGTATACCCCAACGAACCAGGCAACTTGGTGAGTTGATATTTTGGTGGTGGGAAATGCCTTTTGGACTTGAGAGTTGTTGTGCGAGTGCGGTTACCCGTGGGTACAAACAACGCAGGGGTTCCAATCTTCGTGTGGAGACGCTCATTTCTTTTGTGCCTTTTTTGGGTATCGACAAGTTGCGCGGCTCTCAATGTCTTCGAGGTTGCTAGTGAGACATCATTTCTCGGCAACCAGGCCCGTGCTGCTTTTTGACCCCAACCAGCCCGACGCACCTTCCTCGTAAGTTTTCGTAACTTATACCAAGCGCAGGCATGGCTGTGGCACCGTCGCCGTGACTCGGCAACGTCGTTTTCTGCACAAGCTTTCCTTTGTTCTCTCGCCTCTCCTAACAAACACAGGCAGAGTGCTCCCGCTACTTCGGAGACGGCCTCCTCCGACCCGTCGCGTACGCGGGCCCCCCTCAAGCCCGCCGTCGTCTGGCGGGACGGCTCGGCCTAGGCCCTGCCGGTAACGACAAGGACAGAAACGGGACTAGCGGCGGTGCTGACGGCTCCCAGGGACCGGGGGCAGATGGCGCTACGGCGTCAGCGGCGGCAGAGGAGGAAGAAGAGCCGGAGCGCGCAAACGTGGTGATAACGTCGTACAACGTCTTGAGGACAGACGCGGAAGTCCTTGGAAAGCAGGTGCAACGTTGTCTTCCCGGTGTGATCACGCGGGTTGTTGTTTCCACCCCGGGACGGGGAAAACTATATGGAACGGTCTAGCCAATGGAATGGAGGAATGGAAGGCCACGCCCGAGGAGAGCGACAGCGACAAACCAGTCATATCATACCCGGCCGTTGACTCACGTCGGATGGTTCATGGCCTGCTGCTGCGTAAACGACGAGCTTTTGCTGCCTCTCCAGGCACTGGCCACGTTGCTGTGTGTCCTGACCGTGCTCGTGATGATCGCCGCTGTGCTTGCTGCTGCTGTTCTTTGAGATGTTTTTTGGTGGTGTCGCTTCTGCTGCTGCTGCTGCTGCTGCTGCTGCTGCTTGTACCCACTCGAGAAATGTGGAAGTGATGGAACATACCATTTTCCCTTCGTAGATATACACATTGTTGATGTCTGTGGATGCGACAGAAGACAACACATGAAAGAACTTGTCAACAACAACAACAACAACAACCACCACAACAACCATGCCAACATCAACACAGGGCTGGCTCTACTTAGTCCTGGACGAGGCGCACCTGCTGCGAAACCCCGCCACCCGCACCGCCAAGGCCGCCAGGGCGCTGAGGTCCAACCACCGCGTGGGGCTGACGGGCACTCCCATCCAGAACTCGGTGCTGGAGCTGTGGTCGCTCTTCGAGTTCCTTATGCCAGGGTAAAGAGATGACAGACTGTTTTGTTGTAGCAGTGACAATCGCACACACCGTAACAACGACAATCGTACGCAGTGTACAACACAATGAAAATCGTACACAATCGTACAAAACGTTAACGGGGTGCGCGCGTACACGCTACTCTGTTTTAGAAAGCCCTGGAAATGACGTTGCGCTCCGAAGTAAAACCCTTTTGGGGCGGCAAATGCCGCCTGTGTGACGGCATCGGGGCTGTATAGTCGTTGTAGTCAAACCCAGCGTATGCCCTGCTGAGCAGCGGTTCAAAGCTCTTAATGTATGCACAAGCAGTGGAGAATCTGCGCGTCGAAAGTACTGTTCGAGATATGTATGTGCGATACAGCAGCGCGTAACGACGACGAAAACAGCACCACTGTGTCTGTTTATGCTTGATTGTGGCATTCTCTACACACCGTATTCAATACCCCCTTCGTACCCTACCTATGCGATGCATGTAAAGGTACTTGGGAGACAGGCGGTCTTTCCAGCGAGATGTGGCAAGGCCGGTGCGAGCAGCTCTATCGTCTGACGGGGATGGAAGGGCCACCGTGGAAGGCCTGCAGCAGCTCGAGAAGCTACACAGACAGGCAGGAAGACCGTTCGTTGTCGTCGTTCGACCATGCTGTTGTGGGTAGTGGGTGTAGTGGCGGTGTGCCCGGTGAGATCCCAGGCCCAAACATCACCTGTCCAAGGGGATAACTTTGCCTACCCCCCCCCCTCAACCCCCCCCCCCTCCATACCAAACGCAAACGTAGCTGGGTCTGGGAGCAAGCATTAGGATGTTGAGATTTCGTAAAGTGGATGACACAACCCCATGTATTATGTATGCTTCGCTGCAACGTCAGCTGCACTCAAAGGTATTCTGCTAATGTCTACGATCGTGCTACACGCCTGCGGTTTCCCGTTGAAGTTTCATTTCTGACCTTGTGATTTCCCTCTTGTCTGGTGCGTCTAAGCTACCTTACCCAGTGTGACTTCCCTAACCCCAACCCTATACATAACCCTCTTTGCCACGTCGTTGTTTTTTCTTGTCCATCGTTTCCATTGCCTTTGTTGACTTGCACTGTTTTTTTTCGAAGGTGTTGCCGTTCGTCCTCCGACGGGAGAAGAGCGAGGTGCTCGCCGACCTCCCCTCCAAGATCATCACCGAGATGGTGTGCGACCTCACGCCCGAACAGCGACGGCTGCACAACATATGGGAGCGAGGAGGTATGCATAAACTAGATTCTTTTGCTTTTCCCACAGTTCGTGTTGCGGGGCGCTCCCCGGGTGTAGTACATACGCGTGCAATCTTGTCTCGTCTGTGTTTCTGGTCGCTTCGAGGGTTTAGCACTCACCGTGTGCTCTTCGATCATGCGTCGTGCCGATCGTTTAGGTGACGGGGGGCGCGTCCTGGCCGCCGTTGCTCAGGCCGAGGAGATGGAGGCTGCCAGGTTGAGGGCCGTTGCGTCCGCCGCGGTGGCGGCTACAGCAGCGGCAGCAGCAGCAACTGCAACCTCGGAACGTCCTGCAGAATCTACCGGGCACGTTAATGGCCCCACTACGGCAGCACCAACATCCTCCCCGGCTAGCGGCGGTGATAATGCGGCCGGCGATGGCGGTGCTGCCACCGCAGATTCACAGGGCAAAAAGACTACCACGGAAGCGAGCAGGGCGGCTGCGCCAACGGGACGACTTTCCGCTGGGGCACAGGTGATTCTCCCGGGTGAAACCTAGCCGGGCTGGTGTAGTTCTCGGTCGAAGCGCGAGTGGCATATTTCCAGCGATAGCCTAGATTCTAGCTTCGTTTCCAGATAGGCTGTGAGTCACCTGGTGGGTATCTTGTCGTGTGGTGGGAAAATCTTGGGGGTGCCATCAGGGAAGTGCCGCTTGTGGTGCCGCTGCGAAGGGAACCAGTCTAATTTGAAACGTGACACGTACGTCGCGCGTAGACGCCACAAAGTTCTACTACGTGCGACGCGTTCTCAACCCAATCAGCTGCTCAGGACCCAGCGAACTAAAACGATGAGAGGCGTTCCTCCCTCTTGTGATCCCCGATGCCGTTGCCCGTGTCGACCGCCGGCGACATCCCCGACAACAACGATAACAACAACCACAGACGCTGGCTTGTCTGTCGAAGCTGCAGCTGCTGTGCGTACATCCTTCTCTGGTTACTCCAGAGGAAGGGACGAAGCGGCGGGAGATGAGCGCGGACGTGAAGCTGTCGGGGAAGCTCATGGCGCTAAGAGAATTGCTCTGGGATGCGGGCATCGGCAAGAGGTATTTACGTCTCAGCATTCCGAACTGCTTTGTAAACCTTGCTACGTTATGTTCGTCCGCATGTACGCCAGCCCCCCCCCCTAAAAAACGGCCCTTTCCACCGTCTGCTCTCTTGTTGTTTTTCCGCATCTTTGGCAAGGTTTGAGGACCGAGAGACATGGGGAAACGATCTCTGAGTTTCCGCTCGTGTAAGGGTTGAAGCTGAACAGTCTCGTATACATTTGGAGCCGATACCCACTGTACACCATCGCCTGTGGTGCTCGTTCACAGAGGCAAGCCCAACAATCGCCGCCCCTTTTTCTTCCCCTGCCGCCGCCCTCCCTCAATCCCCTCCGCTCTTCCCCCGGCTTCGGTTTTCGCTTGCACCAATCTTGACCCGTGGTTGACCCGTGGTTTCATAGACAAACGTCGGTGTCCTTCGGCGGCGGCGGTGGCGGCGGCGGAAGCGGAGAATCCTCTTCTGGCAGCGAGAGCGTCGACATCGGCAGCAGTGACAGCGACACGGGCACTATGGACGACAGCAGTAGTGACGACAACGAGGAGGAGGAGGTGGTGGTGGAGGAGGAGGAGGAGAGAGCAGAGCGAGCAGTCAACGATGGAAAACGTCAACGCAGTCTTGAGCAGCGTCAATCAAGTAGTGACAGCCGAAAACGAGGGAGAAACAGCCGCGGCAGGCCCGAGGGTGGAGGCTCAAGAGCGGGCCACACCAACCCTAACCTCGCAAAAGCCGGCCCTAACAGCAGCACCAGCAGCCCGGGAAAGCCGGATACGAAACGGTCCACCGTTGGCACTGCTGGATCTTCTGCTCGAGCGGCGAGGTCCTCGTCGTCTCGGGCTCCTGCGGAGAGTACGGGTAAGGGAGGAAAGCCCCCCCCGACCACCACCACCCGCGGGAAGGGGTCCTTGCCTCGGCAAGAGGAAGCAACGACCGCGGGTGATGGTGTGGCGTCTCCGCTGCCGGGCCGCAAGTGCCTCGTCTTCGCCCAGCACAAGTGAGTCTACTGTGGGGGGAGATCGGGTTTTGTAGTGGCTTTTTTTGCGCTGATTGAGAAGGGCGTGAGTCAGAAGTTACACCGGATTTTTCGTCCGTCGTTGTTCACGGCCTTTTCACCTCGTTTCTACTAAGCATTCGCTGTGTTGTATGTGGCAGAACGTGGGAGACTCATGGAGATGGCGATAACCACCTCTTCTGTTCCTGAGCAAGGAGCCTTCCACTTTAACCACAGTTCACTTTCCCCCCAACCCCCCGATGCTTTTCTTTTTACCCACGGGGCACTAAACGGTGTTACACAGAGCGGCCCTGGACGTCACAGAGTCCGCGCTGCTGCGTCCCTGCTTCCCTGGGGTCAAGTACCTCCGGATGGATGGGTCGGTGTCTCAGGCGGAGCGGGCGGCGGCGGTGGACCGCTTCTCAGCGGACCCGTCGGTGGCGATACTTCTCCTTACCACGAGGGTGGGGCACCTCGGCCTGAACCTCAGCGCGGCGAGCATGGTAGTGTTCTTGGAGCACGACTGGAATCCACAGGTGGACTTGCAGGTGAGGAGGATCTGCTGGCGTTTTAGGGTGCTGTCGAACGGGTGATACGAACGACCGACCACGTACACGTTTTTCAAGTGAAGAGAGTTTGTTGCCTCTTGCTGATTGGTTGCACGCACGTCCGACGGGGGTTGTTGATTGGATAAGTCCGTCCTCTTGCTGTTGCCGGCTGTTTCGTCTCTTGCTTCATTCATGGCGAGGTCGTCGGCCGTCTTCCCTATCGCTCGAACAAAGCAAGCCATGAACAAGACATACTGGCGCGATCAGTTAGGTTGATTCCACTGGATGCTCCAGTACTGGCGCTCGTCCTTCCGAGAACGACCCCTGCCCTGTGTGCGACAAGCACACCCGTGTCGCACCCGTTCGTTTTCCCGAGAGCCGGCCCGGTCTTTGCTCGTATCATACGAGGAACGTTTGCTCACATCCCACGTTTTCGGCGCCTTCCAGGGCCCTTCGTCCACCCTCTCGTGAAACAACCGTCCCTCTCTGTCTTTTCCTCCTCGTCTTTGCCCGAACCGGAACAAACAGGCCATGGACCGCGCCCACCGCCTCGGCCAGCGCAAGGCGGTGAACGTGTACCGGCTCATTGCGGCGGACTCGGTGGAGCAGCGCGTCCTGCGGCTGCAGGGGCACAAGCTCCAAGTGGCCGCCGCCGTCGTGAGCCGCGAAAACGCCTCGGCCTTCTCGAGCGGCACGGGGGGCGTCCTCGGCATGCTAGGCGAGGCGATGGCCGTCGTTGCCGCGGCGAACAAGAAGAAGGATGGGGGTGGCGGTGATGATGGGGAGAGTGTTGAGCTCTGGAGCGCGGATGAGGACTACGCGTACCTTGCCGCCGAACGCCTGGCAGACTCCGTGGCACGAGAGTAGAGAGAGGGGCTCTGGGGCAGTTTTTTTCGTTCTTGAGGGCAGCAGTTGGTCGGTTGGCAACAACATCGGTAGGCTAGAGGGCTAGGAAGATGACGCAACGGGTGTTGCTTGATGGTCCTTTGCGGAATCCGTTTGGGGTGCGGTTTACACCGGGCGGGGGCAGTGAACTACCCGGTGGCGGCCTCCCTTGCATGCGTTGATGCCGGTTTTCGTGTCGGCATCGGCATGTCTACATAATTTTTCTAAAATGGAAAAGAGGTGTCAAAATCTATTACAACCCATTTTCGCTACCGGAATTCTTTCTGTAGGTCTTCAAGAACATCCTCAGCATTCGCCAAATCAACTCAAAACGAGTGATGCCCGTGCAATATCAAAATGCGTACAGCATCTTGGACGGAGGCTTTACTACATTCCGACAACAATGTAGTCTACAGGCAGCACGGAACAACACCATTCTCCGCCCGGCCTGTGTATTGTATTATAGTCTACGTAGAAGACTAGAAGACCAGCAGCGGAACATTCCTTCGATCGATCCCCACACACAAAACTACACGTGGATATCGGTCGGCCGGCAGATCCATCTCCATCCATCCCCGTTCGTAGTCATCCGAGATGATGATGACTTTGCAGAAAGATCATCATCAGAAGACACGACTTTCCCAAGATCTCCTGAGGTGCCATCCTCGATTTCACCGTGGATGACGCCACCCGCCAAACAAGTATCTTGGGTCGTCCCTGTCTTTTTTGGAATTTTCGAAATTCCGCCGCAGGTGCGTTGACCAATCAGCGAACTGCGAGCCACAAATGTTTTTCTTAGGTTTACCCTTCATCATCACTTTTAGCTTCTGGTACACCGCTCGCCTGTGCCTACATGTTGGCAGATTGAGTGTCGAAAAGTTTTGGTGACACCCTCCCAACCAAGAGCTACGTCAGCAGAGGATATAGTTGTGTTTTGAAGGATAAAACGGCTACATGCAACGCAACCTACAATTTTTCTCTTGGCACGCCGCCCCTCGTGCAAACCATGGAACGGCGAGACTTGAATGATAACCGGGACATTGACGCTGATTAACGCGTAAGTCACACGAAGAACAAAAACAATAATTTTAGGGTAAAAGTGCAAGGCGAAAAATCGCACCGACGGACGCAAACCAAGGGTCTGGCCTCCTTGCCCAATCAACCACCCCCCTAATGATCACCCATCACGGTTTTCCCACATATTCATCAACTTAGGGTTTTAGGGCTGGTAACACTACCTTCCCGGGACCAAGCAACATTTCACAATGATGTCGACCACATCTGTTCGCTGACCGAGGAACTCCATTGGTGGGCTCAACCAATGTGTGCGATTCCTCTTCAGTGTCCTTCCCCAATTTCTTTCCGATTCGTTTCGCTCAAGGTCGTGATGGAGGCCGGGCCGAGTCACGTCCCTCTATACTACTCGCGTTCTGCTCTTCCTCGAAAAGTTGTCCCAACGTGGTGCGTAACCAAATGGCGTCACCACCTTGCTTGTTCCGAGTACTTCCCTATTTAGGAAACAACGTCACCTCTCAACGACAAACAGAATCGTAAATCGATATCAACTAGAAACAGCAGCTTGTCCGACTACCTCAGCTCTCAACTTCGCCGGCAAGCTGCTGAGGGAGCTTGTCCATCTCGGCCCTCAACTCCGCCGACGCTCGCAGCGTGGCCCTCTTGAGGCGCTCGTTGGGGGCCTCCTCGACGGCCCTCCGGCACCTCGCCAGCACCCGCTTGCGGAGGCTGTGGAAATGTTGCCTGATGAGCTTCTCGCAACCTTTGGGCGGGTGGCGGAGGTTGGCGACGGCCGCGTGCCGGATGGTCTCGAGGATCACGCGGGCGTTCTCGTGGGCGGAGGCCTCTTCCGTCTCCGCGGTCCCTCGGCCCCGCATGTTGCTACGCCCTCCACCTGGGATGGAAAAGGGAGGGAGTTGAGCAAATTGAAATACGTACGTACCGACAAACATTAATTTACCGTGGATGGAAGCGATATGGTTATATTGTCAAGACATTTAGCGTGGGGTGTCGTCCTGGTCAACACATTTTTGTTCCAATACTAGCGCCAACAACTCGGATCAACCAAATTTGAATTGTTGTATGCATAAGACGTATTCGTCACGATCGCTCTTGTAAACGACCGTCATTTGATCTTGAGAGAGGGGGCGTCGATCGATCATTTTTTTCATGTTGTGCGAAAGTTGTGTTGCGTTCTTCCTGGCAATGGTTCTATCCGTTCAGTAAGCTAACCGTAGTTTGCTTTTCAGGACTGATGTTGTTCAACTGGCAAACGTCTATCTATGCGTACATGATACACAACACGGCTTTTTTCGAACGACCCTGTAAATACAGATGATTGATTCCTCACGGATGTACAGGAACTAATAACGCGAAAGAGTCACCTTCGTTGTAGTACGGGTCCTTCACGAGCACCTGGGTCTGGATGGATGCGAACACCTGAAGGAAAAATAAAAAAGACAACGCAAAAAACGATCGGGACGTGAACAAGAATGAAAACAACACGCGAGCGATACACCACAAGTTGCGAGAGAGATCACACGTTAACATGTAGACGCACACAGGTAGGTAGGGCATACAAACACTAGCAGCAATGGCTAACACCGAGGGGTTCTCCTTCGAGGAGCGCGTCGGCATCTTCATGGTTTCTCTCTGGTCGAACAGAGCGAAGAAGAACTGCTGTCTGTGATAAATAGTCGTGTTCTAAGAGTTGCTTGCTGCCGAAGTATGGGTCGCGGGATGCTACTTAGATGAGAACGATCACCTGCCACAGCGAGCTTGTCTCGGGGTTCCACTTGTCTCCACCGCTGGCGCTGGCCCCGGTAGCACTCCCGAGGAGGCTGAGGCACACCTTGCCGTCGGAGTAAAGGTTGACGTTGAACCTATCCAGACGCAAGAGGGAGATATTTGGGCATGCAGGAGGCACTTCGGGACCCCCGGGGTGGTAGATCGGCAACCAGGTTTCGAGCACTCGCACCTCCAAAATAAATGACTTATGGCGGAAGCAGTTTGAGCGTCGTCAACATGGAGATCCTCAAACGGACGCAAAACGTGTTTCTGCGCATCGCTCATTCAGCAAGAGTTTGGAGCGATGGAGCCGCGCAACAATACAGCAGCGCAACAACAACGGTCCATGCCCCGTCTTGCTGTAACGTCGTGACAGCAACTATATGTGAGTCTACGGTGTACTGCCGAAATGCCAACAATCTGAAACACCAGGCAACGCCACAGCAGAGCAGCAATAACGACGACAACGACAACGACAACAACAACAACAACAACAACCCACTTGACCGTGCCCTGGCCGGTCGTAATCATCTGCACCAGGGGCGGGTCGGCCGGGTAGTTAGACGGCAAGAACACGTCGAACACGAACAGCCCGCCCTCGTACGGGGTGTCCACGGGCCCCGAGATCACGAATCGGGAAAAGTTGAGTGCGTCCTCCCCGAGCACCGCGAACACCGCGGAGTTAGGGTGCGGCGGGTTCGGGAGCATCCGGGGGAGCTTGCGCATGGTCTCGGTGGCCACCTTGCGGGGGTGAGTCAGGGTGGAACCCTCCCTTCGGCTGTCGAAGTAGTGCCCGGGAGACAGCGACTCCACCTGCGACACATGCGTGTACGCAAGTACCGTGCGCGAGGACAGAGGGTCGATCAATCTTGGCGTTTTGTTCTTTCAGGGAGAGTAAAAGTACAACGCCCGATTGGGCACGAAAAGGGGGGAAAGCGCAACGCTTGCTATGTACTCGTATGCCCCCATGCGACGGGTAGACGTGGTCAAAGCGGTGCGTGATGAGGGGCAACAAAATAACCTGCGTGTAGGCAAATTGTCTCAAATGGTGGTGAAAGAACAAACGGTCAACAATGTCGCCTGTCTCATATTATAGAGCATCGGCATGTTTCGCCGTATATAATGACATGGTCAACTCCCTTCTATCTGCAGTCACCCGGGCTAATGAGCCGAGCGACAGGTTTGCAGCCACGAGTGCGGCATCAACCAGTTGGCCGACGCCTACGGAGGTACGGCAGTCTGCAACACTTTCAGCCAAATTCCTGGCGCTTAGATCACCTTGTATCAACGGGGCCCACGGCGCGCAACACGACGGAACCGGGTGAGAACGCAAAGCACGCTACATAGAGGCATCGGACCGGCAGCCCACACCTTACCTGGGTGTGCACTAGGTCTGCGATGGCGTCGCCGTACTCCCGGACCAACTCCTCATCATCCGCCGCCACTTCCGGAACCCCTTCAAACGGATCTCCGCTGCCGCCGCTACCCTGTCCTCCTTCGCCTGCCACCGCGGCCGCTGCTGCCTGCTCCTCCTCCATTTTACGGCGGTCCTCGTCGGCCGCTTCCAGGGCCCGCGTCAAGCGCGCCAACGCCGGCGTCCCGCCAAGGCCCGCGCCGCCCTCCCCCGCCGCCACGGCCTCCAGCAGCCGGCCGTCGAATTCCGAGTCGGCGTGGTGCAACGCCGCAGCGAAGGCTCGGGTGGGGGCGGCGTCGCCGTGCGCTGTGAGGCCGACCAGCAGGTCACAGGCCATTCCTCCTAGCTCAGCCTGGAGGGGAGAACGGGCGAGAGACCCGCGTGCGGGATATAGTATATCCGTCTGAGGTTGATGGTGGCGCTCCATTCTACTATTTTGCTACCTCTAGTGATACCCGTCTTCAACAAGACGGACTATTATATATATAACCAACGTGCACGCTGTAGGTCGCGCACGATACCACACCCCCTGGACCCTTTGTCAAAGCTCCACTACTGTCGTAACAATAACAGTGACGATGCCGAAAGCGGCGTGGCTTTGGAACCGTCCTGTCGAGAGCTCTCCGAAAGCGTGTCGTTCGATTTTGGCATCCTCTTCGTCGTGGAGCAATCGAGCTTTGAGAATCGGTCCAAGGGGGTGAGTTATCGCGTGAGACCTACGTAACGCACGCACAAATACACACCGTAGCTGGCTTTAATTCGGAGAGAAGCATAACCTTCCCCATGACACCCTCCCACGGGGTCCCTGACCATGGCCGTTAGAAGCATTTTTTATTTTCAACCGCACTGAGACTGACGTATTTTCATTCGTCAGCCGGTTAGCGTCGATGCTAATTAAAAAGAAACACACACACACAAACCTTGTCGAATCCCCACGCGTTTGGATCGGCCACCGCAAACGCGGCCGACTCCTCGCCGTAGAGAGAGCGGAGCATGCCCGACAGCAGGGCGGCAGAACGCGCTCCCAACTCTCCAATGCGGAGGGCATCCATCACCTCTTTCTCCTCGCCGAGGGTGGTCAGGAGCGTCAGGACCGGGACGGTCCTGCCACGAGGAACAGACCAGAGGCACACGATAGTGCAGCAACGTAGGTGGCCAGAGTAGCGTGGACGTCTAGTTTGGGGCAAACCAGAACGAACCGTTCCACGAGGTGTGCAACATACTTCACGAGAGCGAGATGTATGAACTACGCAGATTGTTCTTGCCTGGGTGCGTGCTTTCAAGACCTTTTTGCAGCGCACGTTCTGAACGGAAAGACCTACAAGTTACCGCGGTCAGGGTTAAAAAGACGCCATGACCATGACCCTAGGTTAGCGGTTGTTGTTGCCGAGGGTGTATGGTCGCTCTTGTGAAGGGCCCTTTGTCTGCAGTGGAGGATCCGGCATTGCGTGAGCGCGTTTAACCCTCAAACATCCCCAAAACCTCTTCTGCAGGAGTACCGCTGTCTTGTAGATAGGTGGGTGGGAGAGGAGGGTCCAAGCAGGTGTTTTCGTGGGGAGACACCTCTTGTTTCACGCCATCAACTCGAAAAAGATGGTGTCACAACTGACACCACAGCCGGACACAACTTCAAGAGGCTTCTATCGCCAAGGCTTGTCTGCTCCCATAGTGCACACCCAGCGCTTACCCTCTCAAGGTCCCACAGACATATCTACCCATCGGTCAGCACATCCGTCTCTTCTGTTGTACACCCTCACACCAACGAATGGACAACATTCCTGGGACGGTCCAGGCACACAGAGTAAAGAGCGCTTTACAAACCTCTGCCCTTATTTGCTAATGACAGAACACAATGTGCACGTGTGACTAGGCGACTGATAAGTTGTGTGTGTGGTGACCATATTCGGAGGTAACTTCGGGACTACAAACAAAAGAGAGGGTTTCTGACATCGTGCAATTCTCTTGCTCTTACATGTTCTTGAGCGCGGAGACGACCTGCTTTCGATCGGACATGTATTTGTGCCAGTGCTCATGGCCGGCGTCGAGGGATCTGCCCCCGTTGCCCCTCTCCTCGATCACGCCGTCCCTCAGGTGGTCCAAGGCCAGGTTGAAGAAATAGTTGATCGTGTCGAAGGCGGAGATGAAGAACTCCGTCGCCAGAGGCCTGGCATCCGCCGGAGCGGTCTCCGCTGTCATCGTTCTACCGCCGCCGCCGCCGCCGCCGCCCGACATGCTGACACCGCCGGTGGCCGTGGCTACGTCTGGCGACGGCGGGGTTGACGCTGCCGTTGTCGATGTGGCCATCGAGGCGCGAACGAGGTCGAGGATCACCTGTCGAGGTTCTCCCAGAGGATGCGACCACAGCTGAAGGAGGATGGTGCCCACGCGCACCCGGACGCTTTACAGTTCAATTTGTCATGTGTACGTTAAGGCAAGCAGACGCAAGCCGGTTTCAGCGTGATGGCGAAGCGTAAGCGAAACGTACGAAAAACAAAATAAATAAAGGCTCCCTGTGGCCTGTGAAAGATGTTAATTAAATCTGTTGTGTTTTCGTAAGAAAAAAATCAGAAAAGAAGCCCGGAAACCGTGCTCAGAAAAGGGGACCACGGTCCGGCAGCGTGAGCGAAGAACGTCCTAATGAATAAGGTAACGTCCTAATGAATGCGACTGCTGTTACATTAGCTGACGCCTGAAGACCTCGATGAGTAAAGACGTTCTCTCAGCGACACATAGCAGCCAAGCGGAAAACCGTTGCGATATCGATATTGTTTCAACATGTTTCTGTGTGCGTGCATGCGCGCGCCGGTCGATACCGCCGAAAACAAACAGTTGTTGCAAACAGGAGGCCCGTCGGGCGAGCCACAACACCCACCTAAACTTAAAATACCCGATGTATTCGGTCGCGGCCATCCCTTCGATCTGCTGAACCGACGCGTACAGCCTCATGAGCTGTCGCGGGAGCGACGTCCTCAGCTCCCCGCTGTCCAAGATGGCCCCGGCATACCCGCGTCGATTCCCCCAGTACATGGAGCCGCTGAACCCCCCAGACCTTGCGACGGGGCCGTTTCTGCTGCTTCCTCTCCGGCCTCTCCTGTCGTTCTCTAGGGCCCAGGTGCCTGTCTGGATGAGGGTCTCGAGGACTCCCACGAGCTTGTTCTGCGTTACCGGCGACAGGCGGAGGTCCACCTGTCCCATTTACGCGAAGACGTGCAACCAGAAAAGCGTCTTCATCACCTATCTTCAACTGACAAAAAGCGGTTTCACTAGTGCAAGTGGAGAGAAGAAGCATATTCATCGCCTCGTCTTCATCGCCGAAATGCAACTGGCAAACAGCGGCTTCACAATTCTCCCTGTTTCGAGTATGGTATCTGTTCGTATCGGGCTGCTCAAACTCTCAGGTAGGGCACAATAGTCATCGTCTGTATGTAACGCATGGCGATAGATCCGGGAGTCGCGTTTGTATAGTGCAAGGAAGATGGCACCACTCACCCGCTCCATGATCTTCCCGCAGAACGTGGCCGCGTCCTCCGCAGCCCGGCGACTCAGGAACTGTTCGTCCCGACCGTTCGAGGCACCCCGCACCCAGGAGGCGCAGATCGTCTCGATCAGCGGAGGGGCTATCTTCGACACCGACGTCGCCGCCGCGGCTGCTGCGCTCGCGCTACCCTCAGCGGCCGCAACAGGGAGGGGGGCACCGGAAGGGGACCGCAAACAGTTGCTGCTGCTAGTGGCGTTGCCCTCGCCGATGTACAGCTCGAGCCACGACGCGGAGAAGAGTGCCAGCTGGCAGGCGTGGCCCGTGACCGCGTCCGAGCTGAAGCCTTCCACGGACCAGGCGAGAGAGATGGCGGAGTTCGCTTCTTTGAAGATCTTGAGTGCAACCCCGGCCGTGCCGCGGCCCGCTTCGTCCTCCCCTTCGGCATCGCCGTCGCCGGAAAGAGAGAGCCCTGTCCTGGCGAGCGCGATGTCGCTGATTCTCTTGCGCATTTCCCCTCGCCGGCGGTCAAGAGGGCTGATGATCACCTGGAGCGCGCGGTGAGTGAGGAAGAAGAGCTCGGTCGCGAAACTGAAGCCACGCCGGGGTGGTTCTTCTTGCTCTCGCTCTTCCTCTTCTCCTTCGTCATCCGCCGCCGCCGCCGCCGCCGCCGAAGCCACTTCGTTTCCGACGTCATCACCACTCCCGCAAATCGTGGCAGCCGCCGCAGCCTCTCCACTGCTCTCTCGCGGTTCTCCTGCCCCCCCGTCTTTTTCCTCTTCGACGCCTCCACTTTCGTGCGGTGGTGTAGCTTCTGCTGCCACGGCTACGCCCCCTCCAACGTTCCCGTCTCCATGGCCGACCTCCTCATCGCCCTCGCAGTCGTCGGGGTCGTCGTCGTCGTCAATCGAGGCTGCCGGCAGGCCGCTCGACCAGTTCACCGAACCTCCTTCGACGTAGTCGATCTCGACCAAGCCCATGCTCTGTGTGCCACAGCGCGAAGATCGAAGGGTGGGGGGGGGGGCAAGAAGCGCGCGAGAGAGAGAGAGTTCGCAGGGGAGAGGATCATCGTTTGTTGCGCACTGGGGGTGAGGTAGACGCGAAAATAAATAAAAAGTGTTATCGCGCGGTCAGGTTGGTCTATTACTTACACAGCAAGGAGGGTAAAGGGAAGGTAAGCTAGTCGTACAACCCGTTAATTGCAATACTACTGCTGTACGCGTGGAATGCAGTATTGGATAGGTGTATACAAGAACCAATTGGTCCGAGTTTCAAAGATCGATTGTTCCGCAGGAGCAGCACGATTCTGAGGACAATCGGCTCATCAGCACCAGGCCTCCCTCTATTTCTCTGCTTTCACTGCTGCACACAAACATCAACCAACACTGTTTTGGATTGCTTCGGAATGTGTTCTAGCGGTGTTCAAAAGGGGCAAGGTAAGCGCGGCGTCCCGGTCCTTCCGTCATCTGCCCTAGGCACACCTTGGGGCAAACAGAGGAGAACAGCCCGACTCCCATGCGGAGCAGCAGGGCCGAGAAGCTCATCAGGAACCCCGAGGAAGCGCACGTCGACCCTTCCCCGCCCAACAGCTCCGGCGCGCTGTGGTCGTCGCACATCTCGGGGAGGCCTTCGTGTAGGAAAATGGCCTTGGAGAGCCAAGCGCAAACGTCGGATTTGGACTCGCGAGCAACGCCCTTGGTGGTCATCGCCTTCGGTCCGCAGGGAAAAAAGTATGGGAGGGGAGGGGGGGGGGGGGGGGGGGGGGGAACCAGCGGTTCAAAAAAAAGGGGAAAAG